AATACATGGTGCTGGCAATAGAGGACATGCAGAGGAACCCTGACCTCACACCATATACAAACATCAACTCAAAATGCACTCAAGACTTACACATAGGACCTGAAACTATAAAACTACTTTAAAAATACATAGACAAAAAGCTCCATGACACTGGTCTTCAGTGACTTTGTGGATTTGTCCCCAAAGCAAAAATAGACAACAGACAAAAGTAGACAAGTAGGATTGCATTGAATCCAAAAGTACAGCAAAGGAAATAGTCACCAGGGTGAAGGGACAGCCTACAGAATGGGAGAAGATGCTCGCAAACGCAGATCTGAAGGGTTCCTATCCAAAACGCAGAAGGAACTCAGGTCAGAGCAAGACAGTAAATCACTCAGTTTAGGGGCTGGGATTTAGCTCAGTGGTTTTGACACCTGCCTCGAAAGTGCAAGGACCCAAGTTCGATCCCCAGTGCCATAAATAAACAAGCAAACATGATCCAAGGACCTGAACAGACCTGGCTCAAAAGAAGGTACAGAAATGGTTAACATGTGTTTGGAAAGTGCTCCACAGCAATAATCCTCAGGGAGATCAAAGTAAAAATCACAGGAAGGGCTGGGATTTAGCTAGTAGCACTGTGCCTGCCTAAAAAGTGCAAGGTCTTGAGTTCCATCCCTGGTACTGGAAAACACACACACACAAGAAGTTGTCAGCTTCCACCATTGGAATGGCTGCTGTGTTGGCAAGGGTGTGGAAAAAAAGGGATCCTTGCCCGCTGTTGCTGAGAACATAAATTGGTACCACCACAACGGGAAGCATTAGGGAGGGTCCTCAAAAAGGAAAATGTAAATAGAGCTACCATCGGATCCAGAAACCCTGCTACTGGGCTTATATTCAAAGGTAACAAAATCAGCATATGGAGATGTTCTGTGTCACTGAAACCCTTCTCAGAATAACCAAGATACCAAGATACGAAATCAACCTAGCTGTCTACCTGCTAATGAATGGACAAAGAAAATGTGGCTTTTATATACAATGAAGACTATGCTGCCATTAAAAAGGAAACGTGTGAGAGAGCAATGATGGACTGGGAGGAAAATAAGCCAGGAACAGAAGGATAAATACTGCATGACCTCTCCTACACATGGAATCTGAAAATGCTGAGCTGCTAAAAAGAGTAGACTGTGTTGCCAGGGATTTAGCTCAGTGGTTCTGCCACCTTCTTTGTAAGTGCAAGGTCCTGAGTTCGATACCTGGTCCAAAAAAAAAAAAAAAGAGTAGACTGTGGTCACCAGGCCTGGCTGTGTGGAGGGGAACCAGAGAGGTGTTGGTCAAAGCCTGCAAGCTTTCAGTTAGTCAGAAGGAAGAAATTCTAGAGCTCTGTGGTAGGAGACGGTGCTGTGGTTACTTTGTACCCTGGAAATTGCTGAGATCAGATTTGAAGAATTCTCACCCCAAATAATAAGCTTTCGAGGTGGTGCATATGTTATGTTGTATCCACGAGGCACAGGCATTTCCAAAGATCACACACAAACTATGAGCACATACAGTGTTAGTGAACAATCACAGTAAATCAGCTGCCTTTTCAAAGACTGAGTGGCAGAGAACACGTCCCACCCACCCGTCACAACTCCACTGTCTCAGCAACAGCAGAGCAGCTGATGTGGTCCTGACACAGGAGAAGGAGAGGCTGGTGGAGGGAACCAGCTTTTAAGTAAACGAAAAAGCCAGGCGTGGTGGCACACTCCTGTAATCCCAGCACTAGGGAGGCTGAGGCAGGAGGGTTGCTGCAAATTCAAGGCCAGCCTGAACTACAAAGGAGACTCTGCCTCAAAAAAACCAAACAAGAAAAACAAAGTAGAACTGTGAACGGTGCCGTGGCAGAGCCAGGCGAGCCTGGTGGGGAGGCAGGGGTGGAGGGACGCGGAGTCAGAGGGCACCGTGGTGGCCAGGCACCCACTTGCCTGGAAGGGTGGGAGGAGCCGCTCTACAGGGCCGGGAAGGGCTGGGGTGTGGGGGCGCGGGCGGGGCCGCAGGCTGTGGAGGGGCAGGAGCTGGGCAGCAGGCCGGCCTGCAAGGCCGAAGTTCAGAGCAGCTTCCTCTCCAGGCCCTGAAGGCCTGGGGGCCTCACGGAGCCTGGCTGGGTTCTGTGTCCGCAGCCGGAGCCCCGACCTCATGGAAGGGACAGTCTGGCTGTGCAGAGGGAGGGCAGCTTGGACAACTCTGAGGCCCTCAGGCGGTCTAGGCCGGGCGCCACCTGGGGCTGAGGCCCTGAGCATGGCAGCAGGAGTGGTGGTGGATTTGGGGCTGGGGTGGGCGGCAGGGAGACAGGGCGTGGGGCCTGCATCTGGCCTGGGCACCCGGCAGGCACCGGTGACTGGCAGGGGGACAGACAGGCTGCGTGGACGGGGTTTCCTCCACTCCTCTGGCATAAGCTGTGCGACCTCATCCTCTTAAGGCCACGTGGGGGTAGGGCATGGGCCACGTGGGCGGGATGGGGGCCGTGGGGTGTGGGGCCCCTCAGCCTGCGCTGTGACTGATTCTTCCTCTCTGATGGCGCTCGGGCCACGGGCGCGGTTATACACAGGAAGAGCCGGGGTCGGTACCGAGTGTTCAGTGAGCGTCAGCTTCCTGTAGAAAGCTTGCCGTCGTCAGCCGCAGTGGTTTTCCTGCCGCTTGTCTCCTAACTAAAACCAAGGGCCGCAGGTGCTGGTAAACACCTCTGTGTTCCTGGAAGGGCCTGTTCTCGAGCCTGGGTTCTGTCTCCCTCCTTCGGGCCGGCCCTGACCCTACCGATGCCCTCTCGTGCTCGTGAAGCTTCTCCCACGGCCGTTTTAGGGCCCACTCTGCTTGGGTGACCCCCACAATCCAGTCTCCACCCCCTCTGGAGACAGACACTCTGCTCAGGGTCGATGCAGGCGGCCTGCCTCTCCCCAGGTCGAGGAGGAGCACCGGGACTCCTCCATCTCAGACCAATGCAGACAGCGCTTTACCCAAGTGCGTCCTCTGCTGTATCTGTCAGCCCCAGCCTGGGAGATCCAGGCCCAAAGCCCCCAGAGCTGGGCCAGGCAGGTTGCAGGCCGCCCCGCTCTGTGCCCAGTGCTGCCGGCCAGGACACTCGCCATCCTGTGCAGCCCGCCCAGTCCTCCGCCCTCCTGGGATGCGGCCTCCTTCCTGGACCCCTGGTCCCGGAGCCCAGTCCCTTAGATGTCTCCACGGCCCCCTAGGGGCTGCAACCAAGAGGCCCTTGGCAGCCTCTCCTCACCAGGCCACCCTCCCAGTCTGCTGCACCACACCTCACCCTCTGGCAGCCAGAAGCTGCACTGCTGGGTGCCAAGCAGGGGGAAAGAAGGGTAGATCAGGAGCCCCTGCCTGCTTCCTGGGGCTCTCCTGCTGTCCCCATGGTCCCCTCTCCAGATCTTGGCCTGACACAAACATCCTTCAGCAAATCACCCTCTTAGTTCCTCCAGGGGCAGGAAGGAGGTCACACACACACACACACACACACACACACACACACACGGCAAAGTCAGTCAGTGCCTGGCACCTCACCTTGCACCATGAGAGGAAGTGGGGACAACTCTGTTTCTGAATGCAGCCAGGTCTCAGAAGTAGGCACCACAGGGAGGAGAAAGAGCCTGCACGGGCCCTGTCCCCAAACCGCCGTCCTCACTCAGTCCCTCGTGGCTTCCTGCCTGCCCCTTAGCCTTTCATTTAGCACTGACACGGCTGCCGGCCTCTTGGAGCCCCTCACACCCACCCTCCCTGCCAGCCGAAGGGTGACCTCCCTCCCCGGCCTCCCTGCCTGACCAGCTGCTCTCGCTGGCGTCAAGGATGAAGGCAAAGGGCCCCTGGGCCTCTGTCCCGCCCCAGAAACAGCCAGCGTGTGGTGCACGGCATTAGGGTCTGTCTGCCCACCAGGATCTTCCTGGCCCTGCTCACAGTGCTCTACCTGTTGTCCCCTGCCGCCTTATCTGTGACACAGCTCCGGGCTCGGCTCCCCTCTCTCAGTGAGTCCTGCTGGACACTCCACTGTGTGCTGCCTGACGTTCCCACAGTGCGTCTGTTCTGAAACAGGGCATCTCTGATCGCTCCATCTGTGTTTGCCGTGTGGATTTTTCTCTGCAGTGCAGGAGACTGAACCCAGGCCCTTCCCACTGAGCTTCATGCCCAGCCCTTTTGTATTTTTTACTCTGAGACAGGCTCTTGCTAAGTCACTAAGTAACCCAGGCTGGACTCACACTTCCTGTTCTCCTGCCTCAGTCTCCCAGAGTACTGGAAGACCACGCCCCGCTTGCCACGTGCCCTAAGGCAGTGTGTGCTCCTATCCTCCCCTCCCTGCCAGTGGGCCTCCAGGGCTTGGCCATCCCTGCGTGATCTTATCTGGAAATTGCGTCCGTCCATCCGTCCGTCCGTCCCTCCGCGGGGCTCTCTCTTCCCCGCCTGCTCCTTCGCTCTTCCCTCAGACAGCTCCTGTTACACCTGGCTGTGGTGCACTGGTTCATTGCGCTGGCCCGCTGTCTTGCTGGGCTCTGAGTGAGGGGGACCTGCCACCCTGTGTCTATTCACTTAACACCTGTGGGCTGCAGGTGGCGGAGAAATGTGCAGACCGGGTGGCCACCCTGGCAGGCGGCGGCAGACAGGTGGACAGACGGGCAGTGGGCACTGGCCTAGGAGAATGGGGACACAGCTGACACAGCAGCTGCTCTCCGCACAGCAAAGACTGTAGCCTCGAGGGGCCCCACATGTGTCTGATCCCCAGGTTGGCAGGGCAGAGTTCGCACTGAGCTCGCCGGCTGCGTGGAGTGTGAAGCACTGAGCGGAGGACCTGACCCATCCATGCACCTGCTGTCACCATCTGGTACTCAGCTCAGCTTGTCACCCCGAGGAGGGGCCAGGCCAGGCCACAGCCGGTACAGAGGACCCAGGATGCAGTGACCCCGGGGGGAAATGGCTGGAAAGTAGGCAGAGCACAGCGTAGCTTGGAAGCCCTTACCCCACTGACTGCCTCTCCTCCCCAGGGCTGATGACTGCTTCTGTGCCTCCCGGAAGCTGGACGCAGTGGCCATCGAAGCCAAGTTCAAGCAGGACCTGGGCTTCCGGATGCTGAACTGCGGGCGGACGGACCTGGTGAAGCAGGCAGTGTCCCTTCTGGGGCCTGATGGGATCAACACCATGAGCGAACAGGTACAGCACCCGCTAGCCCAGCACCGCCTGCCCGGGGACTTGCTTTCTTCCTTTAAGGGTTGGTTTTCATTTTTAAAATATAAACATACTCTTGCCCATCTTTATAGAAGTAGCACATGGTCGTTACAGCTGAAATGCAGAAGAGAGAAAAATAGATCTTTTCCGGAAAGGAAATAACGCCCCAAGCCCGACGACCACCATGTCGGTTTAGCCTGCTCCTTGCAGCCCTTCTCAGGCGTGATTGTTGTTCGGTCCCCCGTCTGCCTGTCACTGCACAGTACACATCCAGGCCAAGTCTACCAAATTTTGAGACACACGGGTCAGTCTGGGGACCCCAGGGGACACCCCAGATCCTGGAACTAATGGGGGAGAGGTGCTGGTGTCCACCAACCGGACCGATACCTGGGACTATGAGGGACAGGGACAGAGGGCTCTGCTGTGAGTCCCAGATGAGAGGGGACAAGGGGCAGGCAGGCCGCTCATGTGAATTCCAGAGGCGGGACGGGCAGGGACGGTTTACCTGAGGGAGGCCAGTGGTGTTCTTGGGTCACACCAAGGAGCGCTCATTCACACACACAAGCACACACATGTTGATGTTATGGTTTATAACCTGAGAATTTATCATAGCTTTTTTTTCCAGTATCTCGTACAAAAGAGAGTGTACAGTAGTGCCTGATACTCTTTAAAAGTCAGTCCTAATGACTGTATGGAACAGTGCCATTGTGTGGTCCTGAGCCATTCCTTGGTTGCTAGAAACTTCAGTTCTAATTATTCTTGCTAATGATGCTGCGCTAGACTAACTCACACAGGTCTCTGTTCAATCTCCGATTATTTCGTGGGGGAAACTTAAAACTGGAAGTGGTGGCTCAGAAACAGCAGCCTCTCCTGGGGTCTTGGGCATCCATCGCTGTCCCGGAAGCTGGGTGTCCCCTCAAGCCTCACCCGTCCGTGTTCCCTGTGAATTTCCTTACCGCTCGCCCGCTTTTCACCGAAGCTTTCCTGCTTTTCTTGTTTACTTAGAGGAGTTCTTTCTATATTTTGCCATATTGTGGCACATATGTTTCAATCTCCGAATCTTGTTTGTCACGTTTCCAATTGTATGTTGTAAACACTAGAGTCCCTTTCCTTTCTGATTTCTTCTGTGACCTTTATGATTGGAACTAGATCCTGAGGCCAGTAGGTATCTTTTGTGACTGTAAAATTTTCCAGAGATCTCTAAACAAACTAGAAGTGATTTTGCTCCGTGGTGTGAGCAAAGGCTTGCACTCATTTTCCCGAAGAGCTGCCTGCTCGGCCCTGTCCATGGTAATTAATGCCCGCCCTCCCTCCTGCTGGCATGGGGCGCATTTGAAGTAAGCTGTTCTGAAAGCCGGTCCTCCTTTGCTAGTCTCTTGCTTATAAATGACTGCGGAGCCAGTCAGTGTCTGGACACTGTGGGCTCAGAGGCACCCCATCCCCCGATGCTGACCCCAGCTAAAGGAGCCCAAGGACACTCGTTAGGCTGTGACGCAGAGAATGTCCAGGAAGCTGTGTGCATCATCTAGACGGCTTGGGCTGATTTGCCGAATCCAGAAAATCCCCAAGAGCCCTAAGTTGAAATCGGCGTCACATTTTCACAAGCAGCTCAGGTCCCTTGCACCCTGAGACAGACAAGGCAAGGAAAAGCCCTCGGCAGAGCGGTGAGAAACGCAGCCAGCAGCCTGAGCACTCTGCTCACGTCTGCCAGGGTTTCCGGAGTGTGGGGGGCCCCCGCCTGCCGCGCCCTCGGACACCCCGGGTGGGTGTTGACTGGCATGACCACCTCGTAAACGCTCTCTGATTTGACTCACCGCAGGGCATGACCCCCCTGATGTACGCCTGTGTCCGTGGGGACGAGGCGATGGTTCAGATGCTGCTGGACGCCGGAGCTGACCTGAATGCAGAGGTGAGGGCCAGGGTGAGGCAGGAGAGGGGCGGCCTCAAGAGCCTCCGCCGTGGGGCCTCCTGGACAGATAGGGCGCTCTTGGTGGCCGTGGTCCTGGCAAGACCACTGGGCGGGTCTCGTCTACCCCGAGGCCCCAGCCAGCCCACTCCCGGGAGCCACCTGCCTGCGAGTGGAGTTTAGAGCAACACTGTCTGCACAGGCGGTCTGGGCTCCCACACACCGGGATCCATTCCTTTTGGCGTCCTGGCAGAGGGCTCCCCAGAACTGTCAGCCTGGCCCCTCTGTGAGTGGAGGGTATCCCAGCCCTCCGCCTCCTCTCCAGGTCCAGACTGGCTCGCTTCGCTGGCTGAGCCAGCAGATCTTAACCTAGTCCTCAGGCTTCCCTAGGGAGCCATGCGGGTCCCCACCCCCAGGCTTTGGAACTGAACAGACTTGGGGCGACTTGCTTTGGAGCTCAGAAGACTGGCTGACCCTTCTGTTGCCGTCTGCAGAATGGGGACCCAGTGGCACTGTGGCATACAGTTGCTGGGAGGAGGCATGGGGCCCAGCACGGCCTCCTGCCACCTTAGGGGTTGTGGGCCCTCCGCCCCCCCATGTTCTCTGCCATCTGCAGACCGCTCTTCCTGGTGGCCAGAGCAGAGAGAAACATGCTGCAGCCTTTGGCCAGCAGCTTCAGGAACCCTTTAAATCCCAAACTTGGTGCCCTTGCCTCTCTGCACTGTGTGTGTGTGTGTGTGTGTGTGTGTGTGTGTGTGTGTATTAAATTGTGAGTTTTACATTCATCTGAGGAAAGCACACAATAGACATGGGTTTAGATCAGGGCCGAGGGGGAGTTCTAAGGCTCCCCTGAGCTCCACCAACGCATACTCCAGTCCAGTGAGCTCAACTGCAGTTTCCAGGTGACGTGGCCTGGGACCCTGGGGAGAAGAGCGTGAGGGGCTGTGAAGCTGGTAGGACCCCTCCGCACTCACCCCCTCCCTGCCGCCACCCCAGAAGCCCAGCCCCAGTGCATCATCTGTGATGTACCCCATGTTTCCAGTGACATGATTCCAGCAGAGGAGGGTGGGGAGAGCCGGGTGCAATGGCAACACCCTTCCCCGGCCCGCCGGTCTGGCCCGGGGATGCTGTGCTGAGAGCCTCCATGGAGAGTAAGGGTGGTCGGGAATGACACCTCGCGATATTGGACGCCCTGGAGCTCTGAGCCAACCCCACAAGCCAGAGGAGGAAGGGGACAGCCATATCCACTGTTACCTAGGACACAATCCGAAGTGGTCCCTTAGCACCTTGCAGAGAGCACAAGGACGCAAGTCTCTGCCCCTGGACAAAACACAGTCCTTGGTTGGCAGCCTTTAGAGGCAGCTTGCATGCATCTGTTCTCATACACAGGCAGAACTGAGGCCAGCTCTGTGGCCACCTGTAGGGGGTCCCACAGGGGGCTCCAGATCACCAGCATCTCCAGGCACCACCACAAGCCTTTTCTGCCTGTCTCCAGCCCATGTGCCCAACCACAGACAGGTCAGGTGTGCTAGCCAGGTATTGCGAAGGTCATGTTTTGAAAATAACCTCATTTGTTTGTAGGTTGTCAGTACTCCTCATAAATACCCATCTGTCCACCCCGAGACCCGCCATTGGACAGCTCTGACTTTTGCCGTGTTGCATGGACATATTCCTGTAGTTCAGGTATTAACGCACTTCCCTTCCACATCTGACCTCTCGTTTTACCTCTTGGGTGCAAATATAAACCTCTCCCAGCATGCATAATCCCCAAGACATTCATATTGGTTAATCGCAACTACATGGAGGAAATTCCTATCTGCATCCTGGTTAAAGTATCACACATAATGATCTGTTTGGCCCAGTTTTAACCAATATGAAATCATCATGGCCCACACGCAGCCTCCCAGAGTGGAACCCTGAGACGCTCTTCCTGGCCACCCCAGGCAGGGCCTCAGCTGTTATTCTGTGGATCTGCTTGTGTTGCCTGTTGCCATGTGAACAGGAGACCTAGCTGGTGGGGACACGTTGGAGCCTCCCTGAGGTGGGACTGGTACTTCATAGAGTGGTTTCCACTAGTGGGTAGAAGCTCCCAGAGGACAAGGGGATATTCCCAAACAGTGCTTGTTTGGGTCTCACTTCTTCGGGCTCAGATCCAGGAGGGCTAGAGCAGGGCTTAGCACATGCTCCTGAGGCCAAGCCCATGTCCAAGGTCCCCAGGCGCACGGATGTGTCCACTCACATGGGCTGGCGGAGGTGGAGCTGGTGTCCGGTGAGCCGCTCTCTGGTGCATCCCGGCACTGTGGCTAGTCTTTGGCTCTTGGGAACCGAGAAGTCAGTGAGTGGCCGGGCCATCCTGACCTGCAGGAAGTGCTGAGCTTGGGGGCAGCAGGAACTGCCTCCTTCCCTGGCCACACTCGGAATCCTGTGCAGAGCAGGGAGTTGTGTTGTGGGGACAGCCTCGCAGGAGCCCTGGCTGTATCCTGGGTAACGAATCCTGAGGTCAGGCCCGGAGTGACATTCCAGGAGGCTGGCATGTGGCCGTCAACCTGGGAGGTGGCTTCAGCCACAGAAGATCATGCCTAGTCCCTGCCCTGAGACGAGTCTGAGCAGGAGGCAGGTGGGTGGCAGTGTGGGGACACAGAGGCCACAGCCTAACAGCTGCTGGCAGTCCCATTACATCAGGATGGGGACGGTGACCTGAAGTCAGGCCACCTCCCCGCTGTGGGTGCCACCAATCCTGGAGGACAAGGAGGGGATGCCTGGCTGTGCCCTGGGTGGCCTGCAGGCGTACACTGGGAGGGAGTTGGCAACAGGGGCTCTGCCGCCAGGAAGAGGCTTGGATACCCTCGGTTGCACCAAATAAGATTCAGAGAGGCAAAACTTCTGGATGCTCGGCCACTTCCATAGCTCCTGGCCAGAAGACTCAGAGGCCCAGAAGGGACTCTGCCCTGGGTGGCCATGGAGGTCCCCACAGGCCTTCAGAACTCCAGAGTTGGTGGCCACAAGAGGCCACTGCACTGCCCTGACTGGAAGTGTCTGGTGTTGTGGCGCTGAGGACTTCTAGCTCAGGCTTCTAGGAGCTTCCATGCACGTGCAGACCCCGGAGTTCTTCCCGAGATGTGGGCTGTGGTGCAGGAGCCTGGGGCGGGGCGGACAGCAGCCTCCCAACAAGCTGCTCCGTGGTGTGGCCCACACCGTGGCAGTCTGGGGCTCCAGAGGGCACGGGCGGCCCCAGGTCGTGGCCCCCGCGCATTCGCATGTTCCCGGAGGATCTCAGTGGCCCCTCTTCCCCCCAGCTGCTCCTGGATGCCGGGGCCAAGGTGGAGGGCTCGGTGGAGCAAGGCGAGGAGAACTACTCCGAGACGCCCCTGCAGCTGGCGGCCGCCGTGGGTAAGACGCTGCCCCTGCTCCGCTCCTGCATGCGCCTGGGATGCTGTGCCGCTCCGTCCGCTCATGCACCACCCCTCTCTGGGCTTGCAGGAAACTTTGAGCTGGTTAGCTTGCTGCTGGAGCGCGGTGCGGACCCCCTGATAGGAACCATGTACAGGAACGGGATTTCCACCACACCCCAGGGGGACATGAACTCCTTCAGCCAGGCCGCGGCCCACGGACACAGGTAGGCTAGGATGGCCACACGGGGCTTGTTAAAGATGCAGATTCCCAGGCCTGCCCAGACCTGTCCTCTCTGAGTCCCTGCCTGCCAGCCTGAGAGGCCATGCCACACAGCCCGCGTCCACGCAGACCCCGGCTTGTTCATTTGCTCCCAGCCACATGCAGCCACGTCAGTGTGGTGTGTCAGTCTGTGCTCAGAGTTGTCATGTCAGCCATCAGAAGTGAGAGGATTCCACACAAGAGATACCCCACCCCCTCACGTCCCCTATTTCTCTTCTGGGTTTCCTTAGGGACCCATGCCCATCGCATTTTATTCACATCTCCTTAGGGAAATTAGAGTCAAGCTAACAGTCAAAAGGGCAGAAAGTTCTAGAACCTTCTGGAAATGACCAAGCTCCAAGCTGCCCTCAGCAAACAAGGCCAATCCTGACCTCTTTCCTCTCCATCCCCAGAATGTCACGTGGGGTCAGACCCCTAAAGCCACCACCCCAGAACTGGCCTGTCATCCCAGATACCCCACAATGCCTCTGCCCCACCAGCCACCTGAACCTCTGAGTGTCTTCCTCTTGGGTTTGTGATTGACAGGAATGTATTCCGAAAACTGCTGGCTCAGCCAGAGAAGGAGAAGAGCGACATCTTGTCCCTGGAGGAGATTCTGGCCGAGGGCACTGACCTGGCAGACACAGCCCCGCCTGCCCTGTGCGCCAGCCGAAACAGCAAGGCCAAGCTGAGGGCCCTGAGGGAGGCCATGTACCACAGCGCTGAGCACGGCTACGTGGATGTTACCATTGACATCAGGAGCATAGGTCGGTGTGGGGACACCCCTGCTAGGTCAGAGGTCAGCTTCCCCTGGCCTCTCTGTGTCTCTGTGTCTCTGCCTCTGTCTCTGTCTCTCTCTACTCTGTTTCTTGTCTCCTTTGGCTCTCTCTCTCTCTCTCTCTCTCTCTCTCTCTGTGTCTGCCAGTCCCTGTCACACACGCACACGCGCGCGCGCACACACACACACACACACACACACACACACACACACACACACAAAAAGCCCAAAGAGCTTCTCCCTCACTGGCTGCAGTAGGAACACCGTCCCCTGTCCCCATAGTCAAAAGTTCCCTGGTTGCCTCCCACACCTGGGGCACTGGATCTTAGTCCTGTCCATCAGGAGCTGCCCCAGCACAGCTCACCTGCACTGTACCCAGGGCTGCTTGACAGGGTCTGGGCAAAAAGGGCTGGAAATCTCCATGCTTAACAATCACCGGATCTCCTGTGGCAAGGAGCCATGGCCCAGGGTGCCCCGCATCATGCCGGCCTGGAGCCCAGTGGCTTGGCCTGGTCTGGGCACAGCCACGGCAGGACCTGGCAGGCATAGCGTGGATTGGAGGTGGCCTCCCCCAGTCTCACTGGGAGGGGCAGAGCTGCTGTTAGAGCAGGTGGCATCCAGGAGCTGCAGAGGCTGTGACCCCGCCTGGGCCATGGGCCACGTTCCCGAGTCCCGTCAGACAGGGCTCCCGGGCCAGCGTGGGAGTCTCAGCACTCACACAGCACAGGAGCCCTCACACAGATGCACTGTCCCTTCCTGGGCCGCTCTCTCCCCGCAAGCAGAGGGACAGAGGCTGTGTGCATGGGGGATGGACAGATGCTGAGTCCCGGCCCCAGCTTCTGCTTGTCTTGGCTGTCGTCCCTGTGCCTCCCTCTGGGTCTCTGACCTGGTGACTCCCAGAGGAGAATGCTGCCACCTCGGTTTCCCTCCCCAGGCGTGCCCTGGACGCTGCACACGTGGCTCGAGTCCCTGCGGATTGCCTTCCAGCAGCACCGCCGGCCGCTCATCCAGTGCCTGCTCAAGGAGTTTAAGACCATCCAGGAGGAGGAGTACACAGAGGAGCTGGTCACCCAGGGTCTGCCGCTCATGTTCGAGATCCTCAAAGCCAGCAAGGTAGGCAGGGTGGGCCGCGTGGGCTCGGCTCTGCGCCACCCTCCAGATGGACTAGGCTGTCCACCACTGCAGGCGTGGCCGCTGGTGACCAAGCACCTGTCTCGTCCCAAGGCTCAGCCAAGCAGGCTGTTAGGGATCTCAAACGAGGGTTTGCATGGAAGCTGGGGAGAAACGTGGGGAACGTGTGCCCTAGGGGCCCATGGTCACCTGGCTCCCACTCAGCGGAAGCGGGAGGGTACAGCTCCCTGGTGACCCAGAGCGCAGATCCTACTGGGTCTCTGGGGGCTGGGCAGAGGCCTGCAGGGAGAGAGGGGAGCAGCGATCCCAGTGCCCGGGCTCACCCTGCTGGCGTCTCTGTGCCCAGCAGCAGAGAATATCACAGCCACTCCAAACATCAGTCTGGCCCATGGGCCCTGGGAAACTTGTTCCTAAAAATGTCTCTGGGCTGGACAGGGTGGTGCACACCTGCCATCCTAGCCCTGGAGAGGCCGAGGCAGGAGAATCACCTTGAGTTCAAGGCCAGCCTGGGCTACAAAATGAGCTGAGGGCCATCCTGAACTACATAGCAAGACCTTGCCTCAAAAACAATGAAACAAAAGAAAAGGGCCTCTCTGGAGTTTCTCTTGTGGTGGTACTGTCCAGGCCCTGCCACGGAGTCCTGGGTGTGCTGACGGGGAGACACAGACTCACAGCATCAGTGTGGGAGTCCCCTCTCGTCCAAAGGATCTACAGCCCAAGGCAGGGTGGCCATAGCAAAGGTCTGGCATTGGGACCATCAGAAGCCGAGGAGCTGGTGCCCACAGCCGTGTCTGCCCCAGGGCTCCCAGATGGACACAGGGCTCTGGACCAAACTGCAGGGGCTCAAATCCCAGCTGTACGGCTTCTCACCTTCCAGCCCTGGTGAAGCCTCTTCACCCCTCTCTCTGCATGTTAACCGTGCAGCCCTCCTTGGGTGGCGGTGAGAGCAGTGAGACAGTGCCTTGTGCCCCGTGAAGGGATCTGGCCCAGAGAAGCTGCCCACTGAGTGTCTGTTCTGAGGCCTCCAGACTCTCTGGCTGCTCTGTGGGGAGCCCCTCAGGAGAGGCATCCAGACAGCTCACATGGCAGCACAGCTAAGGCACCAGCCAGTGAGCTTTGGGAGGCAGTTCCACTTCCTATAACTCAGGGATGGGGCCGTGGTTCCTTGCAGGCCACTGGAGGGTCCCCCTGGGCTCCCAGGGTGGCACTGGTGTCCCTCCCTCCCAAGCTGCCCTAGAGCAGCAACAGAGCAGCCGTGAATCTTCAGGCCCAGGTCCGTGTGGCCTCTTCCTGTCCCTGTCCCTTCTGAATCGTCTTCTGCCTGACTTTTGATCATTCAGGTGATTACATTGAGGTCACCCTGGTAGTCTGTCATGAGCTTCCTATTTTAAGGTGAATTATTTTGTCACTGCTATGAGCTAAATATCTATGTTCCCCCAAAATTTGTGTGTTGGAGCCCTGGCTGCCAAGACGATGGGTGAGGGAACAGGGCCTTAGCAGGGGTGGGATGGGACTAGTGCCCAGGGCTGTCTCGTCCCCTCCACCTTTCGAGGACACAGCTAGAAATGGTCTCACAACAGAGCCACACTCTCACCACACCGAGACCACCGGAACCTTGGCCATGGTGTTGCTGCCACCAGAGCGTGCAGACCAAACCTCTGTGGCCTGCAGGTCACCCAGCCCCAGGGGAGGTGCCCGATGCCGCTGAGGGATCAGCCCTGGGGACGAGGGTGTGAGGTCTTCTGCAGCCGTGGTTCGCAGGCCTCATGGGACTCCTCCTGCATGACCGTGGGAGCCACATGCAGCACGTGGGCCCCGCGATGCCGGCTGGGTGGGCCCGTGGGTTAGAGCATGCGGAGGGCCAGGTTCAGGGTGGAGGAGGTAACTTCACAGCCCACGGCCGGGTCCAAGCTGGAGAGAACTGCAGACTGAGGCCCCTGTGGCATTCGCAGAACTAGGAAACAGGTGACTGCAGCTTCCGGGACCCCAGGTTTCTGAGTCCGAGGAAGGACTCGCCCAGGTAGTGCTGATGCTGTGATCCAGGGCACACACTTTGAGAATGACAGCGGCCAGCCAGGGTCGGCAGCCCGTGGGTTTTGAGGCACTGTGTAGAAGGCAGAGGCCTGCTCCCCTCGCCAGTCCTCCCTGAGAGTCGGTGTGGAGTGACGTGGGGCCAGCGGCCATCACCTGCTTCTCTGGAACAGGACAGGTTTCCTGTCCACGGGCTGAGCTGTGTCCTCTGCCTCAGGAGCCCAGGCAGTGGACTTGAGAATGGCTTTAATCCTGACATTACGAGCAGCCCCAAGCCCATCCTTGAAAATCTGAAAAAATATTTATTATACTTATTACAAGGTCAGTGTTCATTAGTGGTAGCCGATATAAATAAAAAGAGGAAAAAACATAATCTCACCAAACCCACTCTTACCCTTCCTGACCCTTCAGGGTTTCCTTTCTGAGAACAGGAGATGAACACTGTTGTAACTACTTTCCTCCTGAATACACTGCCTTGCTCCCTGCCTCCCCTTACCATATCAGAATTCCGTTATTGTGTCAGGCTGCGGTGACTGTATCAAAGCACCTGAGAGAACCCACGAGGGCAGTTGGCTGTGGCTGGATTCTGAGGCTCCTGTTCTGGCTGGGCCATGGCCATGGCTGAGAGGAGGCCACTTTCTAAGTCCCTGCTAGGCACTGTCCTCCACTGAGTGACCACCACCCCCAACAGTACACCAGAGTGGGGACCAAGCCTGTCACAGGGGCCTCAGGGATACTTAGGCAGCCACAGAGAGAGTACATGTTTCTTTCAGTCCCTCTGTCCCTTTTCAACCACTTTGCCCAGGAAAAGCAGGCTGTCTTGCCTGAACAAAACCGGCTCAGTGCGGAGGACAGAGGCGGTAGGAACGGGCTGCTCCTCGGTGCAACCGTGGCAGCTGTGCTTGGGACCTCATCACCCCCACCTTTTCTTTATTTTTGGAAAATGTGATTCAGCTGATTGGTCCTGGATTCAGAAATCCAGCTCATAAGAAAGCTGAATCTGGAGCATTTGTCTTTTTTTGTGTGTGTGTGTGCCGGGGATTGAACTCGGGACCTCACACTTGCAAGGCAGGCGGTGGAGCCACTGAGCTAAATCCCTGGCTGCCTTTGTCTTATTAATGGTGAGTACAGTCACAGAACAGGATAATTAGCAGTTTCCAGAATATCGATAAAGTGGAGTTAGGATTAAAAACTGATTTCCTAAACGCTGGGCCCCTCGGGGACCTGCAGGAAAACACGGCACTTTCTCTTGCTGGGCGATCAGCAGCCCTGCTCATGTGGCCCTCCCTCTCCCCACAGAACGAGGTGATCGGCCAGCAGCTGTGTGTCATCTTCACACACTGCTACGGGCCCTACCCCATCCCCAAGCTGGCGGAGATCAAGAGGAAGCAGACCTCGCGCCTGGGTGAGGGGCCCGGCCCGGTGGCGGCTCGGTGACTGGCGGGGTGGGGGGGGCAAAGTAAAGGCAGGACTTCCAAGGGCCAGCAGGAGACCAGAGGGAGAGAAGGTGGGATTATTGGGCAGGGACTCTGCAGGGAGGCATGGGCGCCTCCCCCTGACTCAGAGGACCCTGGGGTCACAGGGTGTACTGGAGACCCCTGTAGTCAGGTTCCAGTTCCCTGCCCAGTGGGCAACTCAGGCCTGAGACATAAGTACCCTAAGAGACAGAGCGAAGAGAGAGAAAGCGGGGTGCCAGGACGACCGATGCCAGGGCAACCGACAAAGGCCCTGGACTTTTATTGGCAATCAGTTGAGGTAAATGCAAGCTACATGTGGTTTCTATGGAAATTAATATAAACAAGGCACATAAAGGCCAAGACAAAGCATTCTCAGATTAGGAGCAGAATAGACAGATATGTGATTGTAATTAGAACACTGTCCCATCTGGTAAGAAGGTTTGAGTTGTGGGAACGGAATCTGGGTGCGAGTTACCCTGACCTCCGCACGTAGGCTTCGGCCAGGCTCGCTCCTGTGAACGCAGCAGTCGTGGGGCTCACGCCTCACAGCCTGCCTTGGGCGTGATCATTAGTCCTCTGCGGGGTGGGTGCTGCCTAAAGCCGGGCCCTTTGCTCACCCAGAGAACGTTAACTGAGCATCTACAGCGTGGCCGTTCTCAGAGGCACCGTGCCAGCCAGTTTGCGAGGCACTGTACACAAACCAAGCTGTTTAATCCTGTGATAGTGGTGAACCGTGGCTATTCCCATGGCCATTTTAGAGAAGGGAAACTGAGGCACAGAGCTGCTAACTAACATGGCCAGGGTCACAAAGTAGAATCCGTGCCCTCGGCACCTCCTACCCTCTGTGTCAGACACAGAAGGAAGCCAGGAAGGCACAGACAGTACGGACAGGGCCAACGAAGCCATGGGGACAGCCAGGATGCCAAGTGGCCCTGCCTGGCAAGGGATGGACGGATCAGGGCTGCCTGCACACACAGGGCTGGACAGGTTGGGGACGAGCTACAGGTGAGGAGCAGCCATGCGGTGCCAGAGGTGACATGTTGTCTTTCCCAAGTGTCACAGCCATGAGGACAGTCTGCTGGGAGCAACCCAGGCGAGAGTAGAGGAGAACAAGCACCTCATGGCTTCCTGAGGAGCCCAAGCTCTCTTGGAGCCAGTGGTTAGCATGTGGCGGGGCAGAGGAGGTGGCCCTGTGGCCCTGGGTCCCTGGCGGCAGGGTACTTGGCGAGCATCACCTTCCTTCCCTGACAGGATGCTGGGGCTTCAGACTGGAGAACTTGGCTTAAGCCAGGCTCGGTGCTGCACACAGCCATCTCAGCTACTTGGGAGGCTGAGGCAGGAGAATCACAAGCTGGAGGCCAGCCTGGACACCTTAGTGAGTCCAGAGAATAGCTCAGTGACAGCCTCTGGGTTCAATTCCCAGTATGTAAAAACCCAAAAATCTCAGTGCAGGCACCCAGAGAGAAGGCACTCGACAGCCACCCAGGGTGCTCTCTGACGGGGTGACAGCACCAAAGTCCCCGGGGTGACAGCCACCCTGCTCCTGCTGGGTGGGGATGGCAGTGGGGGCCACAGATACTGTTGGAGCCCTCAGATCCAGCTGGCTGGACCGACAGATAAACAGGAGAGCCTGCTCTGTGACAGTGCAGGCCACGCAGGGCCCCCTCTGTGGCCTCAGTTTACCCCACCGCTTCGTGGCATCATGTGGTCTCTGCAGTGGTGCAGGACCAGGCTGGAGACCCAGCAAATGGCCCTGGGGGAGAGGGACTTGGAACACAGCAGCCAGGCAGCTCCTCGAAGCCTCTTTCGCCAGCCTGGGACACAAGAGCCCAGGTCCAGAAGGGTGCAAGGGCTGGAGCTGCGTCCTCGACCCGGGTGGGGCAGGTGCCCCTGCCACACTGGGAGACCCTTGGGCCACCAGGGTCTCACCTAGGAGGGGTGAGGCTGTGAACACCTCCAGGCCGGGCCCTGTCTCAGGGGCAGGGGCACGACGGAGGGTTTTTCCCTTCACCTAACGCCACCCTGCCCTTCCCTCCTAGACCCTCATTTCCTCAACAACAAGGAAATGTCCGATGTCACCTTCCTCGTGGAAGGGAGGCCGTTCTACGCTCACAAAGTGCTACTGTTCACAGCCTCCCCAAGGTGCGTACCGCCATCCATGGCCGCATCCCCACTGTCTGAAGCTCGATGTCCGTGCTAATTTTCTCTGGACTGGCACAGCCTATCCTCAAAATCAAGAATTCCAGAGCACAGGAAACCCCACTGCGCAGCCTAGAACAAGGCACTCCTTCTGGGCAGACAGCCTGCGCCTGGGCCAGAGCTTTGTGAGCCGTACATGGAATGGATTTGGGCCTCCTCAGCCAGGCACCCCTTCCATGACAGCCCAAAGTGGCCCACTTGACGAGTGTCAGGGAAGAGCCTGGCATGAGCTGCCAAAATGCACAGGTCCCGGCCTCCCTGCTCCCTGGGCCCACAGACGCTCATGTCAGGTAGTCGTAAAGGAGGGGTTGCTCCCCTCCCGCATGCTCTGCAGGCACTGCGGGCAGTGGAAAATAGGGAGCCGCTCTGCCCTGGGCCATGTGAGCACACCAGGGCCAGGAAGGACCCTGTGGCTTCCAGGAAGGCCGCTGGGACCGTGTGCCTGGCATCCCCGGTCTCCCAGTGCCCCCAAACCACACACGCACCTGAGGTCTTTGTCCCCACATACAAGCACCAGAGCACTGGGGCTGGTGCCTGACACCAGCCGAGGGCCAGGTGGGAGGGAACAGGCCTCACCCAAGGCTCACAGTCTGCATGTCTGAGCTTCCTCCGTGCTGCCAGAGCCATGGCCGGCACCCTTGGGTGGGGTCTCCACCCTAAGGGCTCAGGTTTCCTGCTGGGCACCCAAGAGCCCAGAGAGCAGGGGTCCCAGGGTGGCTCTGGGCTGCGCAGAGACAGAACAGCAGATGCCCAGGCCAAGGATCAGAAGGAAGCCAGGCCCAGCGCAGGAGACGCCCTGCAGGCAGTGGCCCTGGATGGGTGCCGGACAGTGACAGGGTTCAAAGCCATCCGCTCCTCCCCAGTCACAGGTCTGAGAACGGTGTGACAGCGTCCAAAGCTGTTTTTAGCTTTCAGGCTTTGACTTTCGACTAGATTAAGGCATGGTACCGGAAGGCTTTAAACTAGGAAATCTACACGCTGAGTGTGGTGGTGCACATCTCTAAACCAGCTGTTCAGGAGGCTGAGGCAGGAAGATGTGAGTTTGACACTAGCCTGGGGACTTAGTGAGACCCTGTCTCAAAGCAAGGAAAAAACTTTAAAGGGTTACAAAAAGGAATAGGCAGAAATCCGAGGCTGCCCACTGCTGGATCAGAGAACCGGGGCTCTGCAGGCTGTGATGGGCACAGGGCCTCTGACTCTGTGTCACACGCAGGTTCAAAGCCCTCCTATCCAGCAAGCCAGCCAACGATGGCACCTGCATAGAGATTGGCTACGTGAAGTACCCCATCTTCCAGGTGAGCCTGGGCGGGCAGGGCCCGATGAGCCCCTTGGGGGAAGCCCGGCAGGGTCAGGACACAGCCCAAGGGCACCCTCTCCTTGAGACTCATGGTGTGGACAGGGTGGCAACATGTGTCCAGAGGAGTCTGCAGAAGGGCAGGCAGGAGATCCGAGAGGGCCCACAGGAAGAGGGACCGGGGCAAGACTGCAGACTGAAGAGAAGTTGGGCCACAAGAGGGCTAAGGGTTTGACCAAGCCAGACATTCCCAGGAGTGGACATTGCAGACCAGGGCACAGACTCGGGGCCTGGGGGCCCTTGAGGATAAGTAGTGATGTCCCCCACTGGCTCTCAGGGTACCTTAGAGGCCAAAAGTGCCTTGGGCCACAGCAGGGCCTGCCAGGTGGGACAAGGCAGGCACACGGGGCCCCTCCTTCCACCCTGGTCCCAGCCCCCAGGCCCCACTTTCTACAGGGCTCCCAGGAAGGCACTGGGCCCTCACCCTGGCCCTGAAGCCTGCCAAGGTCCCTGAATTTCCACCGTTAGAGATACACTCCTTTGGCTATGGCTGAAACTTAAAAATAAAGAACCCTCACTACACATGGTGATGCACGCCTGTTATCCCAGCCCTCTGGGAGGCTGAGGCAGGAAGATCTCAAGTTGGAGCCCAGCCTAACAATTTAGTGACTTAGTGAAAGCCTGTCTCAGAATAAATAAATAAAAAGGGAAGAAAAGAAAGAAGAATCCTTTGCACATAAACAAGACAGGATGCTGGCTTCTCTGTGCCTCATCTGTAATAATCATCATCTCAGGTTCTCTCAAGGATCAAGCAGGGCCAAGGCTGGGCCAGGGATGGGCAAGGAGAGCAGAGGTTTCCACAGCACTGGCCAGGTGGGGGCGCCAGGCCCTCCCGTGATCGGCCTCACTGCCCACTAATGGCGCAGCTCGGGCCATCTCTGGCCTCCTCCACCCACCCTGCCATTAGCACTTAGAAGGTAGTGTGTACAGTGGTACATGTCTGTGATCTGTCCATTTGGGAGGCTGAGGCAGGAGGATTATAAGTTCAAGGCCAGCTTGGCAGTTAGCAAGACTCTGTCTCAAAGAAAAATTAAAAAGGCTGGAGGTGCAGCTCAGCAGTATAATGCTCATCTAATGTGCACATGGCCCTGGGTTCCAACCCCAGTGCTGCAAAAAAGAAAACAAGAGTAGGAAGATGAGGAGGAGGAAGAAGAGAAAGAAAGAATAGGAGGAGCGGCCTGAGACCTGATGCCTGGTGTTGGCGGAGCTGAGGTCCAGGCCGGGAGGGCCTTGTGCCCTTCACTTCCTCTTCATGGACACTTGGGTCCTCCCTGTGGTCATCAGCCCCACGGAAATATGCTTAGGCCCCTGAGAGTTTGTCATGAGCTAGAGGTGAGTGAGGGGCCGAGGAGGGCCCCGCGCCTCAGGAAGACTTCCCTTCCTGGACTGGCCACCCTCCGGGGAAGAAGCAGAGCCTCCTCTGTGGCTTGACATGGGTCCCCAGAGACGCTCCGGGAGGCGGGAAAGGTTCATATGGGTCGCCACAGGGACAGGGCCGCACCTGGCCCCTGGCCTCCCCACCTCCCCCAGGACCCCGAAGCAGCCCTGGCTTAACACAGGCTCCTGCACCACTCCTAGGAGGGGCTTCACTGGCAGAGTCTGGTGGGGCCTGCAACACCCGATTCGGGTCCCACCAGCCAGGGATCCTGGCATCCCGCTGGGGCGGACCCTCTTCCACGCTGACGGTGGGCGGCCTGGCCGTCTCGGGTAGCACTGGGGCATCCACTGGCTGCAGCTGGCTGCTGCTGTCTTGTCTTCTGAGATCAGCACTGCTCGACCCCTCAGACTCACTGTCCACAGACCCAGGCCCGGTGGACAGGCAGGCGGACGGCGGGGCAAGGAGACCACTGTGCAGCCACAAGCACAGATGTGCATGGGAGGGGCCACAACCAGCTCCGTCAGGCTGGCGAGACTCACTCCCCCGGGAGGCCGCTGGCAAAGCTCCCTGGCTTCTCCCAGTGTTAGGATCCCGCAAGTACCACGACAGGGGCCGTCCGTGACTCTGAGACCCAGCTCCTGGGGTCCTGTGCGGGCGTAACGAGCTCGCTCCCGGGGTGGCCAGGTGGGCCGTGTCCCTGGAGCAGCCTGACGCGGCTGGGTGGCGGGAACCCTGTGATCACCATCCACATGGGGAAACCAGGGTGGACCTGGAACCAGGCTGAAGCCCGGGGGCACGGTGGGACAGGGCTGGGGCGGGCAGGGTCAGCTGGCTGACGCTGCTCTCCCTTCCAGCTGGTCATGCAGTGCCTGTACTGCGGGGGCCCTGAGTCCCTGCTCATCAAGAACAACGAGATCATGGAGGTGAGCATCCTGGGGTCCACCCTGGACACTACCATTCCCCTGGACAGGACGGGCTTCTCCAGTCCCTTGGGGAAACCCTACCTCAATGACGTTGGGGGACAGGGGCTCCCAGAGAATTCGGGGTGGCATCCACTGTGGCACTGCGTCATCAGAAAATGACCCAACACAGCCTCCCTTGTGGTTGTGAGAGAACTGTGTCCGCTAAATGCACTCACTCCCCAGTCTCAGGCTGCCCTTTCTGATTGCTGGTCCCCCACCTCCGTCACCCCATCCCCGTCCCGGTCCACCTCCACCCCTGCCCGAGGCCAAGGGCCCCGCTCCTGTCCAGAAGTGGAATTCCAGTCAGTTTTCCCAGTCAAAGCCAGAGACCACTGCAGTGTCCCTCAGTCTCAGAAACGGACCCAGTGTGCAGGGCAGGGTGCCCAGCTGCCAGACGCCCTAGGGATCTGGGCCACGTCTCAGCTGTGCGATCTCACATAGGCTTCTTGAGCTCTCTGAGCCTCTGTTTCCTTGCCCGTGAAGGGATGAAGAGGGGTTTTCAGGGCTACTGGCAGTGTCTGTCTGCAAGGGCAGGTGTAGCACCATGCCCATGGGCAGGACCGGGGACAGGTCGAGACGAGCACCCTTGTGGAATTTCCATTTTGGAAATTCCTTCAAAATCAAAGTAATGAACAGTTTTTAGGTGACCTGGGTTAGGGTAGAACCATAGATAAACCCTCCAGGGGGGGGTGGTCGGGCAGCTCCAGATGGGTTCCCAGCAGGAGCACCTGCCCCAAGGACTTGAGGTCACCCCCCACAACAGCCCTGAGCCCCAGAGCAGGGCCATGTGGAGGCCGATGTGGTCGGGGACTCCAGCTGTCCCACTGCACTGGCTGCACCGACACCCACGATCCCACCTGCTGTCTGTGTGTGGCTCGGCCACGGAGCAGCCTCCACTGCCTCAGCTGTTCTTGAATTGGCGAGCTCAGCTCCCACGTGCTCCTGTGGAAACTCAGCCGTCACCACACTGCCCTCCCCAGCCTGCCACCTCCACGCTCCAGGGAGTGATGGGCAGCAGTGTGACCAGGGGACAAAGAGCCCTGGCCTGGCCCCAGCGAGGGCCCCAGGAGCTGGAGGGACAGGAGGCAGAGGAGAGCCCCAAGCAGGGCCTGGGCGCCCCTGGGGTGGGGCCCCACTTCTGTCCACCACTGAACGGCACGGAGCACCTGGTCCTGTGTGTGCTGCACACACACACACACACACACACACACACACACACACACACACGACGCACAGCGGTGTCCAGGGCCACCTCCCCCACACCCCATCCTGGTGGCAGAGCTCTGTCCGGCCGCCCCCACCCAAATCGCCTGAAAGGGAGGAGGGAGGGAGACGCGAGCTCACGAGCTGTCTCTGTCCCACCACTCACTGCTCCCCCGGGTTCCAGCTTCTGTCGGCTGCCAAGTTCTTCCAGCTGGACGCCCTGCAGCGGCACTGCGAGATCATCTGCGCCAAGAGCATCAGCACAGACAACTGCGTGGACATCTACAGCCACGCCAAGGTGAGGCAGCTGTGCCCTGGCTATCCAGGCTGCACCCTGACGAGAGAAGGTTCTAGAACCGTGCTTCCCTGGGTGTGGGCTTCAGTCCAGCAGCAGCATCAGGGACTGTGAGAAACGTGACTTCCCAGGCCATGCCCCAGAACTTCCCAACTAGAAACTCCAGCAGGTCCCCGCGTCCGGTGTGTGTAGGAACCTGATCACACAGCCCTTCTGCATCTGTCAGTGGATGGGCTCTCCCTGTGACAATGAGTAGGGCTGCTGTGAACAGTGCCACCATGTGCTCCAGCCCTGCTCTCGTCCCGGGGTGCAGTCAGGAGCCCAGCACTAAGACTGGAACCCAGATATTTTCCACAATCTTTAGGACTCAAGAAAGCTAGGTGTGGTGCATGCCTGCACTCCCAGCAATTGGGAGGCTGAGGCAGGAGGATCGCAGTGTATTTGAGGCCAGCCTTGGCTACGTAGTGAGACCCTGTCTAAAAACAAACAAACAAACAAAAACAAGAAAGCTTTTCCTGCTGCACCGCTCAGCAGAAGAGCATATGTGGGGCACACACAAGGCCTTGGGTCCACCCCAGCTCCTCCCAAAACAGGGACTTTGATTGGCTATCAATAAATGAAAAAATACAGTCTACACACACACACACACACACACACACACACTCTCTCTCTCTCTCTCTCTCTCTCTCTCTCTCGAGTGCCCCGGCTGATGACTAGCAGAATCCAGTTTCTCTGTACACGGCGATCTTTTAAACCTTACTCTGATTACTCTGCATCCTCTACCCAGGAAGAGCCCGGGCAGCCTTGCAGTCCATGCCCTCCTCCCTTGGCCACAGCCTCTCAAATGCCCCATGAACCTGGCTGATGCCCACAGTGACTTTTCCACAGCTGCCTTTCTCGTGTGTGTAACTACTGCTTCCGCTCCCTCTCTGCAGTTCCTCGGAGTCACAGAGCTCTCTGCCTACTGTGAAGGCTACTTCCTCAAAAACATGATGGTCCTCATTGAAAATGAAGCATTCAAGCAGCTCCTATACGACAAAAACGGCGAGGGCACAGGCCACGATGTGCTCCAGGACTTACAGAGGACGTTGGCCATCAGGATTCAGTCCATCCACCTGTCGTCCTCCAAGGGCTCCGTGGTGTGAGTGTCCAGTGCGTGGAGGTGGCCTGGGGACTCCAGCTGTCCCACTGCACTGGCTGCACCGACACCCACGATCCCACCTGCTGTCTGTGTGAGGCTCGGCCACGGAGCAGCCTCCACTGCCTCGGCTGTTCTTGAATTGGAGAGCTCAGCTCCCACATGCTTCTGTGGAAACTCAGGGCACGGAGGGGGGCACAGCGTGTGCGGAGCCCCCATCCACACAGGGCCCCCAAGCTAACTCCGGCACTGTCCCCAGATGGATTGAGGCCAGAAGGCCATCCGGGTTCCTGGCTGACAACTAGAGAACGAGACTGCACCGACCCGGAAGCGCTTGTGTTACATGCCAGAGACCTATGCCGACCCGGAAGCAGTTGTATCTCATGCCTGAGACCTCAGCAGCTGTGCTGAGCAGAGGTCAACCATGGCAGCTCATGGATGAGGCCATTATGCATAATGAGGAAATGTTTGGCTAATTTTTAGGGGTGGGAACTTTTTAAAATTGTTCATACTATAACAACAACAGGGAAGTAGTTTAAAATATATTTCTAAAAGCTTTACAGTTCATTTTCAACTGAATTGTGTTTAGGGATCTGTGTTTTGAGGCTCTTTTCTTCTTTTTTAAACCATAAGCTGCAGGTCCACACTGTAAACATGCATCTGGCAGGCTCTTGCTGATACTCTGACAAGGAGATATAACCCTGCCTTGTGGTGACACAGAAGAGCGCACTGCCAGACACTCGCTCTAGTCCAGTAGTTGGAAACCACCTGCATGCTGATCGTGGTTTCGGGGTGAGGATAGGACACCCCACATAACAGAACGTGCATCTGCATGGGCCAGGACCTATACCACGTGATGTTTGCGCTTCGTTTTTTTGCCAAGGTAAAAATGTCCCATCAGTTCTTGCTTAGACGTCCACCTGGTGACACTAGCATACCCATTTCTTCTCCGATCACGAATGAACCGGATGCTTTTGTTGGGGGGCGGGGGGAGCACGTGAGAGAATTCACTCTTAACCCAGAGTTTTTGCTGTATTCTCAGAAGATGTCAATAGTTTGTTACTAGCCAGAGAGTATGACTGTGTTAGACTATTTTTCAAGAAGAACCATGTATGATGGGAGTCACTTTCTGTATTCCGACAGTGTACAGCTAGGGTTCTGTAACGAAAGTCTATATCGACAGGGTCCGTTCACTCTGCCATGTATTATATATATACATATATATATATATATATATATAAGCAAAAGAGATTGGTGAAGTGCCACGAT